GCATGGCATCTGGATGCCAAATGAGGGCTTCTTTGAAAGCCGTTTTCACATACAAAAATAAGACCTGTATATTAGGGATGACGGAAGTGATTTGGCAGAGAGTAAAGTATCCAACCAGCCAGCAAAATGAATATGTATCCCACCCCCTCCCTTTTTTTTTAAAAAAAGGATCATGTTATTTTACCCAGAAAAATGCTTTAGTACTTGCTGTGGGTACTGCCCTGCTGCAATCTGGATGAGACTCTGTGCTGTACCTCCTACAAATGTTAATGAAGCAACATGCAGAGAGAGAGAGAACAAAGTTGAAGCCCTGAGTACATGGATACTGTCATGTTCTGACTCCTTGCTTCTATGTCTCTGCATCCTTGGTTTGGCAATCTATCCAGCTCCCTCTGAAGTCTTTCTTCCTTAAGCATGTCTCCATATTTCAGCATGTCCCATTCACAAACCTCCCCTTTGCACTGGCTAGATCAATCTCTTGAAGAATATGCTGTGAAAGTTGGGGTGCTATGCAGAGCTAATATTTCCTGCTGCATATCACTGAACTGAAATATGGAAACACTTCTGGAGTAGGAGACCATTTACACTCTGCAGCTACATAAAGGTATTTTGGACTGCTAGGCTGAATACTGACCAATATGTATCCAATGATGTTTGGGTGAAGATGACATAGACGTGGCATTAGCGGCTTAGACAAACACATCCTTACTATAAGGCTGCCTTTACTGGGAACCCTACAAAAGAGTGATGTGAGGAGACTAAATAAATTACAGAAATAGAGGAAAAAATACCAACAGTGTGACAGAAGGTGGTAACATGGTGCGGAACACAAGACAGGGCAAGAAACAATTTTGATTACATAGTGTTGCTAGCAATAAGAAAAGTCCATGAGAAAGCAGCAACACTGCTCATGTATCATCAGTGAGCAATATTTCCCATCCATAAATTGTTATGGCCAAGTTCTCTAAGCACAGTAAAGAATGACAGCTCCCTGTACCTAAGGGACCTTGCAGAAAACTTGCCCTGCAAGCATGGTTATATAAACCTCACTTATTTTAATTAGACTTGTGCTCTCAAAGTCCCACTTTAGCCGAAAAACACATGGTCAGTGGAACACAGTGGAGATTTGTGACACCAAACACCATCTATCTGCTCTTCTCAGCAGTGACTTGGCCTTCGGTCTTATCTCACTTGGCATGTGAGTCTCTAGCGGTAGGTTACAGCACTGTCTATTATTAGTGCTTACTCAGAATGGGTCCTCTGCACTTCAGTACCAGAGAAGGAAATGTCTGTGTAAGCATCATGTAGCCTTCATTTTCCTGAACAAAAGTGGTCCTTAGGGAAGATACTCAAATAAACACCAGCCTAAACTACACTCTAGATAACTGAAAAGCAAGAACAGGACCAAACACTATTATTCAGGATGATGCTGAGGTTAGTCTTTTCTCAGTACGAAACACAAAATGGAGACAATTTTTTGGAACCAAGTAAGCCCTGGCTAATGAAAGGTTGCCCACTCTGCCTTCCTGCTGGATAGGTACTGCCATTTTAAAGTGATTGGCAAGCAGAAACAGATTAAGCGTTTTAAAACATAACATTTTAACATTTTAATACATAAGTTAACCCACTGGTGCCTGCAACTGACTGCCTCCTCTTTTGGGAGAGGTTCTCTTGAAAATCTGGTCCCTGTAATGCAAGGAGACTTCCTCTGAGAGCTACCTGATAAGCCCCATGTGTAATTCAAAACCTGAAAAAATAGGCATATTGTAAATTTGTCATGCTACAAGGGGATAATTTGAGTTTATGGCCAGCAGCAAGCATTGTCTATTTGTCTGTGCCATGTTTTTTTGCTTCTAACAGAACAGACCAAACAGTTTGTTTCCATGTAATTGTTAAGGCTACAGGCATATAGCATTCCTGATAATTTTGCTATGCTTTGTTATGATGATGAATTACTATGTGTGTTGCTGCTTCTGCATGTTAGTCTCACACTGCAGTTTGCATCCTGCATGTGCACGAAAAGATAAATTGGACATTGACCCTAAATGGCAGTGTCATAGTAAACTAAGGATTTTTTTATGGGATTGCTAAGACACCCTTCTTTAGTCTTCAAGCAACTTTTAGCAGGGATGGGAAATGTCATAGTTTCCCCCATGGTGACTGATTTAGAAATGGAATAATGTATAGAGTATTTCATCCTTAAAATGAAAAGCAGGAATTATTTGCATGAATAAGAGCGCTTTACAAAACAAAAGGATAGTTTTAGAATATATTCACAAGCTGAGGTCTGTTTAGGAATACAGGGAAGACAATCTTGGAACAAAACAGAAGTGTGTTCCCTGCCGTCAGAGAAGACAATAAAGCATTCAGAAGTATATGAGCTGGCTGAGGAATTTTAATGGAGCTACTTAGCTGAAGAGAATCATGAATAAGTAAGGTAATGATAGAACAATACAATCTACAATGAGCAGTTGCAACATTTTATTTTAGTCGGTAGATTGTTTACCACACAACAGCCACTGCAGTCAAGCAAGAAAATGATGCAACCAAGCATCTGCTGCATTTCATCTCTCGATGGACACTACAATCTTTGTCAGACATAACACATTAGTGGCTGGAAGGATGGGAAGAAGTTCAAAGGCCTTGTTCAGTTGTTGGTAAAATGCCATTACTGTGGTTGATAAGGATTATACAAACACATGTCTCTTCTATTCATAATTACTATTGTGTAGTGACTAGTATATTCAAATCTTATTAAGATGCTATGTGAAAAAAATGAATGCATGGCTGAAGATAAAATTTCCAAAGCTCATAAATGAGTAATGTGCTTAAGTCTAGAGCTGGCTGAGTATTTTCTACTTAAACTGTTTTTGATGGAAAATTGGGTTTTTGAAAAGTACTTTGCAAACCATCTCTGCTTTCCATGGAATTATTTTTTATTTAATTGGAAAACCAAATATCCATGAGCTGAAATGTTTTTATTTGGATATGTCCCCCCTCCAGGCCTTGTAGGACTTGTGCTTTAAGTTCCTGTTTTCTGTGATTGCAATGACAGATAAAGCCATGTCTAAACTTCAAACTTAGTGTGCCCATCACAACATCTGTCACACATTCCATGGGGCTCTGTGCACGCCAGCTTCTGAGTCAGAAGTTGCATAGCCATGTCCTTGCGCACCGAGCACAGGTTAATCTGCAGTGCTGCAAGGGAGCTCGAACACACAGATTTATACAGTGTGTTTGTGCTCAGTGCCGCTAGACACATGGAGTCTGTCATCTAAACAAGATCTAAGTTTCTTTTAGAACTGGGTCTTTGATTCCCAAACAGGAAGTTGAATTTGCCCCTTTCAGGCCTATGAGTCTATTGTTAAGGTGTTTTTAAAAATGCTAATACTGGTCATTCCAATTCTGCGATTCAAACCCTGAAAATCTGAAATCTGGTATATGGGCAGCAGCAGCAGCCAGGTCACTGGTGGCAGTGAAGGCACTGAGCTGGCAGTGGTGGCAGCTGCAAGTTTTTCACCTCTTCTAAGTCAGCACTGGGGGCTGATGTCCCACTCATCCCCACTTAGTTATGATACTGGAAACTGGTGTCATGAATCACAGTTATGTTTCTGTTCTGTGCCAGGATGGGTATAACTCATAGAGGCACAGAGATAGCATCATAATGGGCACAAGTTTTCTGGGGTGAATGATCACAAAATGTGAATTTGCAGATCAGTTTCCACAAGTATTTGAGCATATATGCTTATCACTTACTACAGTAGTGTGTGTCCTAGAAAACTGAATGCTCTTATCTTCGTAAGTGAACACCAAAGGGGTTTGAACACAGTCAAAACATGATCTTTTTTCTTTTTTAATTCAAAAGATTAGTCAAGGAAATTATCTTGCTTTATTTACCCAGCACCAGCACAAAGATATTAAGTGTTTGCAGTGCTGAAATACCCATGGATAATATGAGTTTAGGGTTGCACATAGGAGTTATAACAAAGAGTAATGCAAAGTAACTTTAAATATGAAAACATATGCTGAATATGAGGTCTTACTTCTTGAAAGTACATCACAACAAAAGACATGCTCGGATGGGATGGGCTCCACCTTTCCCCTAAAGGTAAGCGTGTGTTTTCTTTTAGGTTGGCGGACCTCCTTCGGCAGGCTTTAAATTAGGCTCATTGGGGGAAGGGGAAGACGAGGGTGGAGGAATCATTGGACTTCCAGACCAAGCAACACCCACAAGTACAGCCCAGCCTAGACCGATGAGCGAAACATATACACAGGTAAGTGACAGGGGCCAGAGTAATGCTGAAAGTACACACATCCACAGGAGGCCTCAAATGCCTCTACACAAAAGCTCGTAGTATGGGAAACAAG